CACACAATATACTACTTGATCAAGATTTCTGTCCAAAAATTTCTGATTTTGGTCTCGCACAGCTGTGCCTTAGAAAAGATAGCATTTTTTCTGCTATAGATACAAGAGGAACTATAGGATATATTGCTCCAGAAGTTTTCTCCAGAAACTTTGGAGTTGTCTCCAGTAAGTCTGATGTTTATAGCTATGGGATGATGATACTGGAAATGGTTGGAGTAAGAAATACCTCACCTTCGTGCAATAAGAGTGACAGTGAATACTATTTTCCAAATTGGATTTATGAGCATTACAATCAAATTGGCCATATGAAAGGTTTCAGTATAACTATTGAGTCAGAAGAGATTGCAAAGAAGATGATTTTGGTGGGGTTGTGGTGCATCCAAACAAATCCTGGGAGTCGGCCATCGATGAGCAGAGTGGTTGATATGCTGCAATGCAGCATTGATGACTTGGAAATGCCACCAAAGCCTACACTTTTTTCTTCTTAGTATCATTTTGTTCTGTGCGAGGCAACTCTTTCATGCTATTTTAATTTCCAGATTTTCTTAGTTATTATTTGATGGAAGCTGTTGAATCTGTTGATCTTCTGTAGGTGGCATTCTGATAATTTGGGAAAGGTTGGAGCCTACAATCGCTCCATCAAACGTTTATATGAAGCTTAAAGCCCCCCGATCCTAAGAGATCAACAAGCCTTGTTACTATTTTTGCGGCCTATTTAAGAGCTTCCAAAAAAATGCATCCTCGTTTTTACTATAAATCTTTTTTGGCCTGAAGGAATTGAAATAGATAAATCGGAGATTAAAAAAGGTTAAAGAATTTAATTGAAACTACTTTTCACTTATTAGGTGAGGAGAAGTTGGGTGAGAAAATAATTATTATTATTTTTATTAAGAAAATAGCTAAGAAATGAAGTATGAACAAAGCCTAATGGTATTCAAGCTTCAGTTTTTACTGTGCATGTGTTTTTTCCCTTAAACTCTCGCCCTGGTTTCAGGGAATTTGAAAGATGCAAATTCATTTTACTTACATTATTTTGAATTTTTGTTATTTCAATTAAAATTACATCGAAAATGTGTGCGACCTTTTATTTTCTTCCATTGATATATTTGTATTCAATTTTGATGAAACATAATAAAAAAGCTATATCCATTCATCTGCGTGATGTATGCTTCTTTCTCATAAGATATTCAAACTCAATTTTGATATATCAAATAAAAAATTCTTTTTACTCATTTTTTTCTTGTTGCGTGTCAAACATTTGTGGTGGTAGAGAGATGGTGAATTTAACATCCTAGCTTTATATGAAAATCTAGTACACACATAGATAAGTGAGCAGAGTGCAAAGAGTCATACGAGATACTAGAATTTTTATGTGTAAATTTTATAAAATAAAAGAAAAACCACGTGCCTTGCTCGGTTAAAATGTTTCAACTAGTGCTTATCGTTTGTTACAAATGATGTCTTTCATGGGGGATAGCATTGGTTCAATGTAGTGAATATACATCGTATAGAGCACTTTATATGTTTGGAGTTGGAAGAATCCAATGTAAGAGTTGTTCTCAAAAGAATATTAGCATGTTCATTTGGTCGGTAAGATCATAGTTGGGCAACAGTAGTTTAAGGGACCGTAGTTGGTTGAGGTGATCAGGGGGCATAGAATGCAAAGGGGTATACGACTGCACCACCCCGAGGGACGAATCGATCATAGGCTTTCGTACTCTTCGCTATTGGTCCAATGAAAGGCCATATTAGATCGCACATACGACAAACCATCGAGGATAGATGCTCTCGCCAACGCACCCAAATGGATAATGATATGCACGTCATGATTGAAACAACGAGTTTTCCCCACATGATACATTAGTTTGAGTGGGGTTTATTTGATGGTGGAGTTCCATTTCCCATATGCGCAAGCCCCCATAGTTAATTACATCTCAGACCAAAGTCTGAGAATATTCTCGATTAAGGATCCAGCATTATTCTTTACAAAATGGGATTGACACCGAGGGGAGACTAGGAAATCTGACTCAGAGGAGAAGAAAGGGTTCAAGTGGGCTTAGTCAACATACACGGCTCAGATCCATACTCTGAGGGACTAAAGCACTGAGAAGAGACAAGAAAAAGGAAAATAGTACACTTGAAGCATGCATAGGGGAACGATGAAGGTGGCGTCATTCATGTGACGAGGATAGGTAAGATTTATACCCCCTAAAGAAAAGGAGATTTATCCACCGATGAGGCATACTATGAGGCACCCAATGTAGTAGTCTTAAACCGTAGATCTAAGGTGGGTTTAGTATTCTACAACTAACACTAACACCCATGACCTAATTAATACATCTAGGCTTATATCCTGTCTAAAAAGAAAAGCTAACTAATCACCTAAATGCATAAAATCCATGTATTCCAGTCTTTATGAAAGATGGGTGGGTAGGTAAGTTTTTGGAAGTAAGGCCAACGTCTAGAGAGTTTTCTAATCGGCATTGGACTTATATATGATGAATGCTCCTAGAGCTAATGCAATTAAAATTTAATTCAATTGGTTTCTAATATAATGTATGCTAATCTGAAGGGTCTCAAGTCAAGTATGCATGAGGTTTTTAAAAAAGGCATATAAAAATAATTTATTAGAAAAAATTAGGCTTTTCCACATCCAACATCTCATCATCATAGACCAGATTATTCGAGCTCTACCCACAGGAGGGGAAGTGCCTTATAGCAAGGGACAAGAGAATGCATTAATATGGATGCGACCCTAGAAGATTCTTGGTATTCCCTAGGTCGTTAGATTTATAAGCTATTTAATCCTTAAAATTTTAAAATTTAATTATGAGTAAAAAAGATTTTTAATCTTTAAAGAGCCTAACGAAATCAGGCCATGCACATGCTGACCTTTAAAAGGGATCTGCTGTGCGGGGGATATAATGCAAAGGGGTATACGACCGCACCATCCCGATGGACGAATCGATCATAGGCCTTCGTACTCTTCGCTGGTGGTCCAATGGAAGGGCATATTAGATCGCATATACGACTAAACATTGAGGATAACTGCTCTCTCCAACGCACCCCAATGGATAATGATATGCATGTCATGATTGAAACAATGAGTTTCCCCCACCTAATATATCAGCTTGAGCGGGGTTTATTTGATGGTGGAGTTTTGTTTCCAATATGCGCAAGCACCCGTAGTTAATTACATCTCAGACCGAAGTATGAGAATATTCTCAATTAAGGATCCAACATTATTCTTTCCAAAATGGGATTGACATAGAGGGGGGGATTAGGAAATCTGACTCAAAGGGAAAGAAAGGGTTCAAGTGGGCTTAGTCAACATACACGGCTCAGATCCATATTCGGAGGGACTAAAGCACCGAGAAGAGACAAGAAAAAGGAAAACAATACACTCAAAGCATGCATAGGGGAACGATGATGGTGGCATCATCCATGTGACGATGATAGGTAAGATTTATAACCTTTGAAGAAAAGGAGATTTACCCACCGGTGATGCATATTATGAGACACCCAATATAGTAGTCTTGAATCCTAATTTAAGGTGGGTTTAGTGTTCTACAACCAACACTAACACCCATGACCTAACTAATGCATTTAAGCTTATATCCTGCCTAAAAAGGAAAGCCAACTAACCACCTAAATGCATAAAATCGATATTGTCCAGTCTTTATAAAAGATGGGTGGGTGGGTAAGTTTTTGGAAGTAAGGCCGACGTCTAGAGAGTTTTCTAATCGGCATTGGACTTATGTAGGATGAATGCTCCTAGAGCTAATGCAATTAAAATTTAATTCAATTGGTTTCTAATATAACGCATGCTAATTTGAAGGGTCTCAAGTTAAGTATGTATGAGGTTTTTAAAAAAGGCTTATAAAAATAATTTTTTAGAAAAAATTAGGCTTTTTCAGGTCCAGCACCTCATCATCATAGACCAGGTTATTCGAGCTCTACCCATAGGAGGGGAAGTGTCTTATAGCAAGGGAGAAGAGAATGCATTAATATGCATGCAACCCTAGACGATTTTGGGTATTCCCTAGGTCGTTAGATTTATAAGCTATTTAATCCTTAAAATTTTAAAATTTAATTACGAGTAAACAAGATTTTTAGTCCTTAAAGAGCCTAATGAAATCAGGCTATGCACATGCAAGAAAGAAACCTAAAAAAAACATACAATTTTTACTACGCACATAAACTAAACACATCAATACAAATTTATAGAGTAAAGAAAAGTTCACAGTCCACGAAAATTGCCATATAAGTACAACTCCGACTCTTCAGAAATGTAATAGTGGTCAGGCCCCACAGACAATAACTTGGATTCTAATCCTAATGATAACGTAAGTTTTAAAAGCAAGACATTTCGTATTCAAGTCTTCGTCTTCAAGTGGATCATTCTCCTCATGATTGTCTTCCTTCAGATCATCTTCCTTCGAATCGTCTCCTTCGGGCTCCATAAGGTTCGTCTTTCAGAAGAGTACCCAAAATGACTAAAAAACTTTCTATGAAGGGTCTTTCTTTTTCTCTTTGGGTATCTAGTATTTGAAATGCCCTACTTTTGAAGACTTTTACAACTCGATATTAAATTATAAATTACATCATTTTGAAAAAGAAAATCTAGACTATCCTACATGGTTATCTTAATAAAAATCCCAAGTAATATATAACATCCCAAGCAGTTAATATTTGTGCAGAAAAAGAATCACACTTGGCCACGCTCTTTTTATTTTTAAAGAAGACTAAGCAATTTTGAAGCATCTGTAGAAAATAATGTTTGTTTTAAAGCTTAATTATTTTTACCCCATTTTTTAGCGTTGTATGAGCGTGACCACCTGCATAAGACATCGTTAGTATCAAAAGTGCCCCTAGCCCATGGGTGATTTATCGCACAAATCACTTCATAAGCAAAATATAGAAAGCACGACAATAAGATAAATATCACATCAATCGCAGCAAGTTAACCAAAGTAAATCAATCAATTACACGTACCACATGCAAGATCATTATATCACATAAGCAAAAAAAGTAAAAAACACCAGCCCTAATCCTAGAGCTAGAGTGGCGTCCTAGCAAATAATTCTACGTGTGTTTAATAGACTTGTGTGACTTTGGATAGGCCATATGTCGGGTTATTAGTTCAAATTATTTTGCATTCGAATTTATTAAAAGTCAAAAGGGGAAGATTTGATTAAGGTTTAATTAATTATTAATGAATTTGGATCCATTTTTTGTTAATTTAGCTTATGGATCAATTTTAATGCTTATGGTAATGATCTTTGAAGTTTAAGTTGCATTAACGGAGTTTAGAAGGTTCGGGATCCTCTTATTCGCTAAGTTAAGGAGGTTCAAAAGGTCACTATTAAAAATGTGCTATGTTTGGGGGTTCTAGTATTTTAATTAAATAATAGGCCTTAAAGGGAGTAATTAGACTATGAATTTGTTGGATATTAAGTTTCCTAGGCAAAGTTATAAATTTTAGAAGTTTCGGCCCTAGTTAATGAATTACGATTGATCGGAGAGTTGACTTTTGATTTAGGTTAGTTTCAAGAAACCTAATATTTTTAATAAATACTAGACCTTAATTGG